TTAGCATCACGTGAACCAAACCAGCGCGCCTGATTAAATCAACTCACGAAGGACGTCTCAGATACACGCAACCAATCAGAGGAGTCACTCGTAATTAAACACACCGTAAGTCGTTTTTAGAGGAAAATGGACGATTTCCCTGACTGCTATTTGTTAATTGGCAAACAATACATCTGCCTTCTCTGCGCATAGTTCAGCCGCTGACGAAGTGTTCAGCAGCCAGTATTGTACACTTTCATGTCCGTCAGCAGTTCGTGCGAAAATTCAACGTTGTCGATTGTTTGACCGCCCGTCTGGTGATTCGCCACTCAACTCTGACCCACGAAAATCAGCCCTGTCAATGTCACAGCTGGATAGGATGAGAGAGGTTTTCAAAATTCTGGCTTGCAACTTGGAGCGTGCTTGTTCCTATAGCACTAGATTGACACTGGAACATCCGCCTAAACAGGCTGTTAGATACCAAACAACTTTGGTGGAATGGGTCCATAACTACTGCCGAGAAGTCTGCTCCAAAATGACATCTGTCGTCAGGAGAGTAGAGCTGAATGTATGGTCCCACGACGAACGGACAAACGAGGCTTTAATTATGATTCACTTAACTTTGAATCTGTGCTACTATAACGTTACAACAGGCTTTAGTTTTCGCATCATTAGGCTGTTGCGAGTTTTTAACGAGGCAGTGTATTGTAAAGAGGCGGTGGCACAATATCTTTTCCGACATGGCTACTGCCTGGTTCTGCGAATTTCCTGTTGCAAGTACCAAAGACGTCAGCGGACAGAATATGGTGACATGGTTGTCGGTCTGTCGCTATTAGATGTGTTTCCAATGTGTGTGCCATCGATCCTCGTTTTTGAAGCTAAACTAAAAGCACCTTATGCTTGGCATTCTTCCAGGTTATCGGCGACTTACTTTTGGCGTGGGTCATGAACACCGAACGTCGTCAATCACTTTTAGCATACTGCTGATCGGCTTACACGTGCTTGCGCATCCAGCAAATTGAGTGGACGTGGTAGACGTTAGTTTAAGGGGATATGGGAGAATTTACGGGGTTCCACGATGCTTAATTTAGAGAGACACAGATAAGAGCTGATGGTGAAGACTACCTGACAGCAATTCTATTGGATAGTAAATAAGAACACATTGATTGGCTGTTCCGGTTTATGTGGGACTTTAATATCTAAATATGGATGACAGTGAGTTTTGACCAGTAATTTCAAAGCTGGAACACTGATAGTAGACATTATACTATATTATCAATAAATCAAGTGTGGCTTTAATCGAAAAGCGTATTTTGAAACATTTTGGTACTACCGCTTCCACAATTTCTCCTCCACAATAACCGTCGAACAGTCTCAAATGCGCTTTAAGTTGGTTAACTGAAACCACCTTCTCTCTTGACATCAAGTAACACTTTCTCACACCGATAGTTTAGTTTAATTTAATCCCAACCCCTTTGACAAGTTAAAAGCAGTGCCTTTTTAACTCAAATTAAATCCGCAACAAATGACAGTGCCAGCAAAGTCGGGTTTTGTAGAGGTCCGGACCATCTGAAGGCAGCTGTTTATTTTGGTACAGTAGTCTGGAATAGCCTCCTTTAATGATAAATCTAATTCCCAAGAGAATATTTAAAAAAAGAATTAATTAATCACGTCGGGCTACAGGATGGCTGGAAATTGGAAACCGGGGTGATTAGGAAATTCAGACACGAATTTGGATGTGGACTGGGCTGAAAAATCAAGTCGCATAGTGTGTTGTCTTTTAGAATGATGTTGATAATGATTTTTGGTTTTAGTTCCTCGACACTGTTCAAGAATTGCTAGAAACCCTCTCCAAATACCATTTTAGCATGCTATCCTGGTTTTGGGACGCACAATCGAGTTCCTCTACTCATACGCTCACCAGCCATTAGGTGAGTCTGTAAGGTGAAATAATTGGTTTTGCAAGGCTGGTCCAGTTATCTGCCCGCTCCTCCACCAATCAGAACGCGCCTTCCCAAACCCCTGGGAAAACGAGTGCACAGAAGTCGCGGTGACTCGACTTCTGCTTTTTCATACCTTTGCAAAGATTTTTTTCTAGACATTCGCTACCGCCTGGGAGTTTGTGATACCAACTGCAGTAGGCAAACAGATAATAATGTTGTGGCTGGCATCAGTAACGCGGTTGTCAAATCCTGTTTCTATGGTAAATTGGAAAGTAATTTTATTGGTGTACAGCACTTGGCTGCAAGAGAATGCGAAGGAGAACAAGGATAAAATGCCAATGATTTCCTTTTAAACAGAGCATATAATCAATCTCAAATCCTTATTAACAGTCGTAGAGTTAGAGTACAAATGATTGCTACAAAGTCGGCGCAGTCTGGCGGACACGACCGGTTATCCACTCGTCGGACATGATGTGTCATCGTGTTTGGCACAAGACGACAGAGAAAGAGTAATCGGTGAGTCATAGATGTCAATCACCTGGAGGATACCCCTCTCGCATCTGTTTCTCAGCTGGCAATCAGCTACAAAACCGCTCACCACAGCTTCGTGTTGGTGTCAATGCGGTTAAAGTTTGCCGGTCTGACGTTATCCACTTGTGCTACTGGTGTAAATTCCCAGACACCGATGCCTCAATGTCAGAAACCTCGGTTTATCTCGAAACACCATCCTCGAAAGTGCGCAGTGTCCGATTATAACGGCTGCACTATATAGTACCAGCTAGCAGTCTTACGAACTTGTTTCATGTCCTTATAAAATCCGGGCGTCAATTATCCACTGTGTGCTGAGGTCTTCTAAGTCCGGCGAACGATGACGTCCACCAATCACATAAACTTGACTTGGAATTGGAACCGTTATTTGTGATTGGTGGCGCCTCGTGTCCGAGTGAACGTTGCTTCGACCAGCTACTGACAGTTGCGATACCCTTGTTTCGCTATTCACCTTCAACACCAAATATGCTGGTATTTGAGTATTCACCAATTTATAGAGGCTGATGGAGAGGCGACCACTGTAGTCGTGTAGTGCCACGAAGTCCGGGGTCTTTAAAGTGTAATTTGCACTTTAGCATGTGCCCACGTCTAGTAAAAAGCATTTGACAAATTTCATGAACCCATCTTATGAATGCTGACAATAGGGAAGAATGTTAATGGCTCTTCTCAAAGCTCTCAGATGCAAACACAGGTGCAGAATGCACCTTCAGAACGGTTAGTAGGTGTTGACTTGAATTCACAGATCTTGCATGTAGTGAACCGTGTTGATTGCCGTTCACTGCGTCTGCCATCGCATATTCCGACACACCATCTCCTTATCCCAGTTTCCCCATTGATCATGCGGGGCCGTCTGCTTATACACCCCTGTGCAGCTACCTCCCTCGCTACTCATTTCGCGCGTCTGACCATTTATTCATTTGTACGCCTACCAGTTCACCCAAACTGTAATGATCAACAACGCCATTAGGTTGAGCCACCTACTACACGGTTGTGCTTCCGCCATCTCCAGTCTTTGTAATCTTCCTGGGTTTCAGTGTAGCGTAATCGGGCCAACGCAACCCGGTGTGATTCAAGACCACATGAAGGGGCCTTAAGCATTACCCTCTAACTTGTGGAAGGTCATTAACTAGAAGCCTTTTGTCGGACTAGCTGAAGTTTTCCTGCATCGCTAAGCAGTATATGGGGCCGTCTGTGCATTGGAGAATCGCCCCAACTTCCAATTTGACGAATCGGAAAGGCTTGGAACTTTCCACCCCACATTATGACGCTC